CCTTCTATGATACAACTCGTTATAGAATCAACCATAAGATATTGAAAACAACATAATTTTACCATTGATAAATTTTGTAAAAATATTTCATTAGATGTACTAGCTTTATATCCTACAACTGATAATATAATTAATTAGTATTTACGTCTATATTTGATGTCATTACTTCTTTGTTTTGAAAGACAAATGAAGCAATGGCCATAAAAATATGCTGTAGTTTTCAATCTATAATGTGTTGTTCTGTTTACAATTTTCAGATACTGATAAACATAAACCTAACCATACTGTAGAACTTGATAAAACAACCATCAGTGAAATAGTTGATGTTGACAAGTATGAGCAGCAGTTAGCTAATATTCTAGAAAATCTAAGACATGAATATGTTCACAAGCTTTCACTTAGGACTAATGTAGGTAAGTATTAACACTGTTACATGAAGAATTTAGCACTTTAACTTGCTGAAAATAAAAATGATTAGCCTGGTTGGGGCTTCCATGGTGAAGTGGTAGAGGTCGTTGACTTATTGACTTCAAACCAGTTGCCTCTCACTGCTGTAGGTTCAAGCCATGCCAGCATCTTCAAATTTTTTATGTGAGAAAGCTATACTCGAGCTAGCTTACGGAACGTCGGTGGTTCTACTCAGGTGCCTGTTTGAGCTTGAGATAATGAACAGCGTGGCAACTGAGGTCTTCCACCACCAGTAAAGCTGGAAAGCTGCCATATAACCTTTACTGTGTTGGTGCGACGTTAAATCCAACAACAACAAAAAAGAGAAAAAGATCAGCCTTGTACAGTCTTACTGGGCTCTATTCTTTAGTTAGCTCAATCTATGTTGTTGTTTTTGTATAGTGAAATCCCTTAAACTTGTACAGTAACTTTTCCATTTTATAAATCAGGACAAATTAATTACACGCACTAAGAGCTAAAGGCAAGTTTATAATAATGAGAAATGTTTTCCATACACTAGCATTGTCTACAGACATTTGTAAAACATTTATCAATAATAAGGTTATGTTCAATAAGATAAGTGTCATGTAACAGTATTGTTTTCATGCTCGGATTATTTATTATGATGATTATATTGTTTGTATACATTTTGTTTATACACAGGAACTTTTGATAAAATTGAAGTGAAGTTGGACAATGAAACAATTCCTTTGAATCAGGTTGCCTCCATTGTGCAGAAGGGTCCTTCATTGATTGTACTCAATCTCAGTCAAAATATCAAGGTCAGTATAATAACAAGAGCATTGTATGTAGTGTTGGCACTAATCTGTTAAAAGGTCTAAGTTAAAGGGGGGCATAACTTCAAAAATATTGCTTTCAGAATTATGTCCCTTGAATAACAACTGCACCTTGTCATAATAAGCAAGTGTTCAAAGCAAAGTTTCGTGTTGATTACTTTTAGAATGTTTGAATAATGGGCTATATATTACAGTTATTGCATAATGACAACATCAGCGGTGCCACCACAGTGACTTTTTCAAGGCAATAAGGAAAATATATCATGCAAAAACAATATTGTCCTTTTTGTAAAATATTGGATTGATATTGTGGTAAAAGATAACAATAAGGTATTAAGAACTGTATATTGTGGAAGTACTGGTTTGCTTTTGTTCTTAAGTAACATATACAGCTTACAAGCAAATATTGTCCAGTAAAATGTTGGAAATACATGAGATAGAAATTTAATGGTTTAATTGGGACTGTTTTTGGTTGTCTTGATAAGTTTTATATGTATCGTCAGGTCATGTGTTTTGATGCTCATCTATTTTGACGCCATTTTTGTTTTGACCTAAGAATTGGTGAAAACGACCTGGTATGACGTCATAATTTGCTGACTGCACTCGCAGCAACTGAAAAAGTGGTCACATTTCTCAAACTCAAACAAAAACAAGTGTTGAGGGCCTAAATAAGGCATTTTTTCATCATCTGAGACAACTCAAAGGAGGGGGGTGGAAAAGGCGTTAAAAGGCGTGTATATCGCGTAATTGGTTAATAGGTCATAGACTAAAAGTGATTACTTAGTAATTCAGGTGTGAATTGTTTAATCAATGGTCGCTATAAGTGCCAAATAGTATAGCTGTGTATAATGTGCAGTGATCAAATATTTACAAATAGAATGAAGGAAATTTGCAATAAATGGGGTCAAAAATGACAATTCAAGGGAGGTTACTGCAGATGCTATTTAAATTATTACATTGCAGTTATGTCCCCTTTGTTTCCAGTTTTGCAGTCGAAATGATAAAAACTTTAAAATGAAACTATAAATCAAAAAGTATGGAGAGGGGAACAACACATCAAAACATCAGGTCAGTTTATATATCAGCTAAAATATAGAGGATATTTGTTTAGTTCACTTCAGTGTAAGATCAGAATATATTTCACCAAGTGAGCAAGGTTTATTTCACAAGTCAGATGTTAAATAAAAAGTTCATCTGATCTACATGTTATAAGGACATGTGAATAATTTAATCAAAATGAATGATTTTAAGCTTGTCTGGTCTAGGAGTAAACCTTGAGTTATTTCGATCCTTGGGTTGTTGATTGTTGTTGTCATTGTGAAGTGAAAATTTTCCTGTAGCCCATTACTCAAACTCTTCTAAAGGTATCAACACAAAACTTTGAATTTTTGCTACAAGACCAGGGGTATATTCTTAAAGCTATAACTATTTTAGTTTGTCTGATTTTAACTTCAAATTTGTTTGAAAATCATTGTAAAATCATTTGAAAATTGATTCCAAAATTATCAAAGGTATCAACATGATACTTGTATTCATGCTTTAATTATGACAAACCACAGTTGTTAGACTAGAAACATTGTTCAGAATGCTACATTAATAGTATTAATATCTCTTCTTTTTTTTTTCTCAAAATATGGTTATTAAATACATGTAGAATGGTTAGGAAAATATTATAGCTCTAAATTCTAACCTTAAAATACTTGATTTTCCTGACAAGGTGCAGTTGTAAGACAAAGAGACTTTAGCCTGTGTCCCTTTTTAACCTTTTAAATTTTATAGAAAATTTTGAAAACTATTTAAGATAATGTACTCATTTTGGGCTTACTTGATAATGATGACAAGGCAAATAATAGAACAACAGACATAATTGTGATCAGTATGTATAGAGTTATGCCCCTTTTCTAATGGAAACTAATCATAACTATTAACTTTTCAAGTTTGATTGAAAAAGTTAATATTACCATCTTGAACATGTTCAATAACAAAATTACTCATCTGATTGGGCTTTTATAGCTTGAATTTAATATTTTGTATCCATACAGCCCAAGATCATAACTTTTGACCTGGATTTTGAATGAACAATGGCCCTTTGTATACTTTAAAAATTCTTTAGTCAATATACAAGACTCATAATATGTATTTGTTGAAATCTTCCTTTTTTGTGTCGCCTCTACGGAGTAGTGGCGACATATAGGGATCACTTCTCCGTCGTCTGTCTGTCCGTCCGTCACAAAACTTGTCCGGACTACTCCTCATAAAATACTGGTGCAATTTCATCCAAACTTTACAGGAATGATCAGTACCAAGTCTAGTTGTGCATATTGTCAGCATTTTCTGGTTCAATGATTTTTATGCTCCCCGAAAAATTTCGGGGGAGCATATAGGCGGCGCCTTGTCCGTCTGTCCGTCCGTTTTCTTGTCCGGAGCATAACTTGAAAACCCTTGGAGATAATTTGTTTAAACTTCATACAGTGGTAGAGGGCATTGAGGGGGAGTGCAGTGTCAAAGAACCATAACTCTATTTTGCCCGGTTTTTAGCTCACCTGTCACAAAGTGACAGGGTGAGCTTTTGTGATCGCTTTTCGTCCGGCGTCCGTCCGGCGTCCGTCCGTCTGTAAACTTTTACTTTAAATGACATCTCCTCAAAAACCACTAAGCCAATTTCATCCAAACTTCACAGGAATGTTCCTTTGGTGGTCACCTTTAAAAATTGTTCAAAGAATTTAATTCCATGCAGAACTCTGGTTGCCATGGCAACCGAAAGAAAAACTTTAAATATCTTCTTTTAAAAAACCATAAGAGCTAGAGCTTAGATATTTGGCATGAAACATCTTCTAGTGAGTGTCTACCAAGTTTGTTCAAATAAAAGCCCTGGGGTCAAAATTGGCCCCGCCCCGGGGGGTCATTGATTTTCCCTATATGCATATAGTAAAAACTTAAAAAATCTTCTTTTAAAGAACCCAAAGAGCTAGAGCTAAGATATTTAGCATGAAACATGTTCTAATGGGTGTCTACCAAGTTTGTTCAAATAAAACCCTGGGGTCAAAATTAGCCCCGCCCCAGGGGGTCATTGATTTTCCCTATATGCATATAGTAAAAACTTAAAGAATCTTCTTTTAAAGAACTCAAAGAGCTATGGCTAAGATATTGAGCATGAAACATGTTCTAATAGGTGTCTACCAAGTTTGTTCAAATAAAAGCCCAGGGGTCAAAATTGGCACCGCCCCAGGGGGTCATTGATTTTCCCTATATGCATATAGTAAAAACTTAAAAAATCTTCTTTTAAAGAACTCAAAGAGCTATGGCTTAGATATTGAGCATCAAACATGTTCTAATAGGTGTCTACCAAGTTTGTTCAAATAAAAGCCCTGGGGTCAAAATAGGCCCCGCCCCAGGGGGTCATTGATTTTCCCTATATGCATATAGTAAAAACTTAAAAAATCTTCTTTTAAAGAACCAAAAGAGTTAGAGCTAAGATATTTAGCATGAAACATGTTCTAATAAGTGTCTACCAAGTTTGTTCAAATAAAAGCCCTGGGGTCAAAATTGGCCCCACCCCGGGGGGTCATTGATTTTCCCTATATGCATATAGTAAAAACTTAAACAATCTTCTTTTAAAGAACCCAAAGAGCTAGAGCTAAGATATTTAGCATGAAACATGTTCTAATGGGTGTCTACCAAGTTTGTTCAAATAAAAGCCCTGGGGTCAAAATTGGCCCCGCCCCAGGGGGTCATTAAAGAACTCAAAGAGCTATGGCTAAGATATTGAGCATCAAACATGTTCTAATAGGTGTCTACTAAGTTTGTTCAAATAAAAGCCCTGTGGTCAAAATTGGCCCCGCCCCAGGGGGTCATTGATTTTCCCGATATGCATACAGTAAAAACTTAAAAAATCTTCTTTTAAAGAACTCAAAGAGCTATGGCTAAGATATTGAGCATCAAACATGTTCTTATAGGTGTCTACCAAGTTTGTTCAAATAAAAGTCCTGGGGTCAAAATAGGCCCCGCCCCAGGGGGTCATTGATTTTCCCTATATGCATATAGTAAAAACTTAAAAAATCTTCTTTTAAAGAACCAAAAGAGTTAGAGCTAAGATATTTAGCATGAAACATGTTCTAATAGGTGTCTACCAAGTTTGTTCAAATAAAAGCCCTGGGGTCAAAATTGGCCCCGTCCCGGGGGTCATTGATTTTCCCTATATGCATAATAGTAAAAACTTAAAAAATCTCTTTTATAGAACTCAAAGAGCTATGGCTAAGATATTTGGCATCAAACATGTTCTAATAGGTGTCTACCAAGTTTGTTCAAATAAAAGCCCTGGGGTCAAACTTGGCACCGCCCCGGGGGTCATTGATTTTCCTTATATGTGTATAGCAAAAACTTGAAAAATCTTCTTTGAAAAAACCCAAATAGCTAGAGTTTAGATATTAAGCATGAAACATCTTCTAGTAAGTGCCTACAAAGTTTGTTCAAATAAAAGCCCTGGGGTCAAAACTGGCTCGGCCCCAGGGGTGTCATTGTTTTTAACTATATGTGTATAGTAAAAACTTAAAAAAAAATCTTCTTTTAAAAAGCCCAATGAGCAAGAGCTTAGATGTTTAGCATGAAACATCTTCTTATGGGTGTCTACCAAGTTTGTGCAAATAACAGCCCTTGGGTTAAATTGACCCTGCAACGTTGGGGGGGGGGCCTATATACAGGTGAGCGACCTCAGAGCCATCATGGCCCTCTTGTTGAATTATCTCCCCTTATAGAAAAATTTTGTCCGGGGCATAACTCTAAAACTATAAGAGATATCAACATGAAACTTTGTAGGTGAATAGATCTCAATTGGTAGATGTGCAGTGCATAAGAACAATAACTCTTTTTGTCCTAATTTTGGAGTTATTACCCTTTGTTAATTTCAACACTTTGAACTTTGTCCGGAACTATACTCTAAAACTATAAGAGATATCAAGATGAAACATTGTAGGTAGATAGATCTCATTAAGTAGAAGTGCAGTGCAAAAGAACCATAACTCTGTTAAGCTTCATTATTGAATTATCTCCCCTTATAGAAAAATCTTGTCTGGGGCATAACTCTAAAACTATTAGAGATATCAACATGAAACTTTGTAGGTGAATAGATCTCAATGGGTAGATGTGCAGTGCATAAGAACAATAACTCTTTTTGTCCTAATTTTGGAGTTATTGCCCTTTGTTAATTTTAACACTGAACTTTGTCCAGAACATAACTCTAAAATGATAAGAGATATCAAGATGAAACATTGTAGGTAGATAGATCTCATTGAGTAAAAGTCAGTGATTTTCCTACATATATAACAGACTCCGAAAAAGGGCCTCTTCCCAATTGAAATTTTCTTTAAAATCATGCAGTTTTCCCAAAAATCTGAACTGAAACATGCTTTTTTCTTCCCAAATTAGCAATTTTAGCGATAATTTTTCCCAAAATCAAGAGGCTAAGGCTTCTTCCCAATAAAGCGAGAAAAATCACTGAAAGTGCAGTGCAAAAAAAAACATAACTCTGTTAAGCCTCATTTTTGAATTATCTCCCCTTTTAGAAAAATCTTGTACTGGACATAGCTGTAAAACTATAAGAGATATTAACATGAAACTTGAGGTAGATGTATCTCAATGGGTAGATGTGCAGTGCACGAGAATCATTACTTTGCCTTGCCTAATTCTGGAGTTATTGCCCTTTGTTTATTTTTACTTTTTGAAGTTGTCCGGAACATAACTCGGAAACCATAAGAGATATCAACAAGAAACTTTGTAAGTTGATAGATAACAGTGATTAGAAGTGCAGTGCAAAGAACAGTAACTCTGCCTTTCCTAATTTTGGAATTATTGCACTTTGAACTTTTTCCAGGAACATAACTCTGAAACTACAAGAGGTGTACTTTCCTGTGTCCAAAACCTATTCGGGGAGCATCACCCGGCTCAAACCGGGCTTTTGTTTCTAAGAGTTATGGCCCTTTAATAATTTTTATTTTTAAAGTTTGTCCAGACTACTTCTCTTATACCACTTATGCAATTTTGATGAAACTTTACAGGATTGATCTGCAGCTCAAGTCCTTGCGCATATTATACGGGTTTTCCGGTTGAATGATTTTTGGCCGAGTTATGGCCCTTTGATAAAAAGGTGTTTTTTTTCTGTGTGTTGCCAGATACACAAAAGCTTGTCCAGACTACTACTCATAAACTACTATTGCAATTTTATCCAAACTTTACAGGAATGATCAGTACCAAGTCTAGTTGTGCACTGTCCGTCTGTCTGTCCGTCTGTCTGTCACAAAACTTGTCCCCACTACTCCTCATAAACTACTGGGGCAATTTCATCCTAACTTTACATGAATTATCAGTACCATGTCTTGTTGTGCATATAATCAGCTTTTTATGGTTAAATGAATTTTGTCAGAGTTATAGCCCTTTAATCATTTTTATTTCTGAAAGTTTGTCCGTACCACTATTGCAATTTCAGTGGAACTTTACAGGATTGATTGGTAGCTCAAGTATATGCGCATATATTACACAAGTTTTCCAGTTGAATGATTTTTTACTGAGCTATCACCCTTGAATATATAACATGTTTTGCCCTGTTAATCATTTTTGTGTCTTCCACTACACTGAAGCTGCAACATGAAGGCGACACATGTGATCACTGATCGCTCTTGTGTTAATGCTTACATTATCCAGACTCTTGTTTAGCTATCAAAATCTGCAAAATAGTCCAGCCTGCTGTTCTACTAACAAGTGACAACACTTGTTACATAACTCCCCGAATTTAAACTACATTTTTATCCATAAGGTAAAATTTTGTATTAAATGTATCAATAACGTCATTCTGAAACATGTTTATGTTTACAGTACAGAATTTCTTTCTGCAAGATCATATCTATACATTGAATAATTACTTGTACATGTATATAATTGTAGAACAAATGTATTGTGTTTTTTATAGTTTGTACCAGCAGTTATGTCAGCATTACATAGTTCAGGGATGAATCTAAATCCACAACAAGAAGGTCCATCAACAATCTATGTTAATATACCCAAGTAAGAAAATCACAAAGTTAAGTACTGGTAGTGCTAGATAAACTCTGAATATGGATTAATCTTTTTATGGCATTGTAAAAGGTGATAATTCAATCTTTCAATGACTAGCATTTTTCTATAACTGTATTATAGCATTTATTATACATGTATAAGAATTTTAAAATTTTGGTTTTTTATACATATGGTCTTATTTTGATTTTTTTATCAAAAAGTTTTTTTGTTATTTACTGCAGAAGAATTTATCTAATATTCAAACAGTAGCAAAATATTGATCATCTGCTAATTTTAGTCGCTATGGCATTCATGTCAGGCTCTCATCATCCAATTTTTCTGAAACGATTATATTTACTTTATTTTGTATTGATGTATGTAGGTGTATTATCGTTCTAAAGTATATGCAAAATGCTTGCAGATAAATGTTATCGTTAGGTGATAGCCTTCAAAAATTGTCTGTTATAGGAGCTCCACAATGACTAAGGTTAAAATGTTTAAAATTTTACCCTGGTCAACTTGGACATTTAAATAAGAAAAACAGGAACATGAAAGAAAAATATACTTAGAATTAATTTGAAAATCAATATTTAGTGTGATTATTAGCCTGGTTTGATGAGATAAATGAATTTAAATTCTGTAAAAACATTCAAACCATTTTCATTATCAGACCATTTTGCACAGTTATAATGATTTAACTTTGAAAAATAGATTGAGTGAGTGTGCCAAAAGCTTGAACACAATTTATTTGTATACACCTAGATTAAATGTTATTTAAATCTTGAGCGCCTTGTGGCTGAAGGTTTGCTTCTTCCAGTTAAGGCATCAAAATTGCAACCAACATTTAATCCTGTGGTGATCATAAGAGGTAACCAAATGGGTTAGAATTACTGGTGCCAATGTATTTTCTAGCTCCAACAGCTGAGGTGGTTTTGACCACTTGTATTGCTTTAAGTTTTTATTTGTAACACCCAAGGTTAGTCCAAACCATTTTTTCCTGTTTTGGTATCATATGACCTAAATTGTGTTGGTGCGCCGTAAAACTTAACAAAACAAAATTGAAATCTTTAAAAAAAATATACTTCCTATCCTGTCATGTCAAACATCTACCTTTAAGCATTCCAACATCTATATTTCAGGGTTTCAAGGGATCATAGGGAAGAACTAGCTAAAGGTGCTAAAACAATTTTTAATAATACGAAAGAGAAATTGGACAAACTGTTTGCAGAAACAATGAAGAAGGTTAACAAGACGAAATCAACTGAAATTAAAAAAACAATAGAGAGTAAGGTAAGTAAAAAGAGCTGTGAATGGTGCGGGATATTTTGATGTAAGATATACTTTTCTCAAATTTGAAATTATGTAATAGTTATAGTATATAAAACAAGTTTGTTACGAGGATATTACACTGGCTGGGCCGACATCAAGGGGATGTTTCTGCTAAAAAAATGTTGAGGCCAATAGTGAGAACAAGAAAAAGTTCCAAACCATGCAATAATGATAATTGCTTCACAGTCTCTTTGTAAAATAAAATGCTTTGACCTAGCACAAAGTAGATATGTTATGTATTAAACTCTTACACACAAAGGTGCTATCCAGCTAGCTTAGGAAACGTCGATGGTTCTACTCATGAGCCCATTCTACTAAGGTCTTCCTCCACCATTAAAAGCTTAGTGTAACTCTTAAACTTTTATCATGGTCAGATTTTATTTCTGCTTATACAAGTGTCACAATATACACATTTGCACACATAGAAACTTGCCCTGAGAGCTCAATATAGGTTCAAGTTGTAGACATACCACAGTTTTTCCCTATTGGAAATTCAGTTAGCAACAAAATGTTTTGGTATTGTATATCGTTTACTATTCAGTGTTTACATGCAAAATTTGACAGGCACTAGTACTGGTACATGTCTCAGGAGGTTTTGTATGGTAACTGCCTGCCAATAAATGTATATGGTAAAATTGTTTAATTGTTTACTTCAACATTGTTGCTAAACTCGGCAAAGTGTCATAAACCAATTATGCATATTACATTGTACTCCTAATTTCAGTAGATTTTATTCATCCTTGTTTAATGCTTCCTGGTTTGCACAATTGAGAAATTTTAAATGAATGTGGGCTTAAATGTGAAATGTGAATTTTTTATAATTTTTGACAACATTTTTTTGGGGAAAAATAGGAAGTTTTAAAAGCGAAAGAGAATAAGTCATTACATGAGGTGAAAAGAAATAAAACTGCTAAATTTACTTCACATGAGATGATACACAGTGATTATTTATAAAGTCTGTTTGCTTTTCAGTTACTTCAGGACAAGAGGAAAATACAAGCTGATGCAGAAGCATTGATGAAAGCAAAACAAAAAGAATTACTTGACTCTTGATATTAACTTATAAGTAATGATTTCAAATTCAAAGGGTTATTTCAAATCAGCTAAAAATTGCACAAACTATTGATAATATTGTTTTTTTTTGTTTTTTTTTGTTTAATTTGATGTAGGTAAAAATTTCGAATTCTTTATTTTAAGGTTTCTTGATCTACGTCCTTTAATGAACTTGCTTTTTAATTAAATTTGTTAAATACAATGTAATAAAAATGGTTAAAATGATGTGAAAAAATTCGTTTTTTTCTTCTCCTTTTTTTTCTCAGTTTTACCAAGATCCTTACTATGTTCATAGAAACTGTAAATTGGGAATTACAATATGTGTAGACATGTTTACTAAGAAGATGTAAATGAAAGGAAGAAATCAGAAGATAATGTCAAGATTTCTTACCAAGACTGCAGTCAATTAAGTTGCATGGAGACACATGTCCTAGTCTATTGTTACCACTTTATGTGACAGAAACCAAGAAAGTATCCCATTTTATCAGAAACATGACATTTAAATGTTTTATACCATTTGTTTTTTATTATAATTACATGTAGTTGTTACGCATCTGCCTATACATTTGTATTTGATATATATAATTATTGCATTTTTTGATACCCGAATTTTTGACGTATAATGTAATGCACCTGTTCGTCCGTCCGTCTGTCAGTCTGTTAGAAGTTTTCGTTTCCAGTCTGTATCTTTTGAAGCAGTGGAAGCAAATTGAAACTACTTGGCAGAAATGTTAACCATAATGAGATGTTCTGCAGAGCGCATGTTTGATCTTCTCAGGTCAAGGTCACACTTTGTCATTTTCAAAATTTGGTTTTTGCTCTGTATCTTTTGAACTATTTATTATTATATTTTATTATCCCACAAAATTGGAGAGCGTAACATATTTACAAAGTATATATAATGTACATACAACAGAAGAGAATTATATACATTGTAATATAAAAGATACAATAACATGAAATTCTTTTACAATTGTCAAATTATGACTTATGGGTGTATATTGTTGTCTTAAAGAAAGCAAATGTAGACTATGTTTTAAATAATTAATTTTAGATATGAACATTTGTATATTCATCCTAGGAGACAAAAAAACCAAAGCTACTAAGTCCCGTACCAATAACTGAATCTTAAACGAAAAATTAGGAGAAAGTGAAGGTACAGTCTTTGTGTTCATGCTTTATAAATGACTATCAATAGACGGATGTCATAAGAAATATTCCTCAATAAATCAATGATCTTAATTATTGAAATAAAAAAACAGCAAGCACAAGCGCGATAGCGATATGAAAGTTGACAAGTACATTATCAATAATTTTACATGATATACGTAAAAACATTTCACATTGATATCTGTAGTTATGTGCTGCATTGGTCAAAACCTAAATTTGATATAATAGCGTTCCAGAAGGCACGTCTTTCAATCTCATTCCTGTGACAAAAACACATAAGGTGTTCAGTAATGTCATTTGTAAGAAGATACAAGTCCTACAACGACGCACATATGAAAAACACATCATGTGTCCAACTGCCTTGGCAAGTGTTTCAGCAACCCATTTTCGACCCGGATTTTGTCGAATAATAACCAACAAAGGGAAATCTTGTAAGGATCAAGTAGAAATGTTAATACTGGCACTTGTGGCGTTAAAGTTTCTAAAAATAACTCTTTTGTTGATTCATTGATTACCTTCATCTGTAAAATCTTCTTCCATTTTAATTTAGATGGAAACACACCGGCATCAATAAAAGTATAAATGACGTACACTAGATCATATTTCTGCAGTAATCTACTCAGTATATATGTCTGGAATAAATCCATGTTTCTGTTTATCCAGATTCACATATCTAATCAATCTATTAAGAAATATCTGTTTAGCAAGATATTTAGATGGCAGTCGGCATAATTGTCCAAATTATTGTAATTTCCTGTAATTTATCATAGGAAGTATGTTTGGTATATTCAACATACATAATGCAAACTTTGCGGAAATAGATTTATGAAAAATTTCTATAAATTTAACACAGAAGGTGTGTGCTAATTCTAGATTGGATATGTCTTTATTTGAGTAACAGGTCCAGTTTTCACAACCATATATCGCTTTAGGTTCTACAACTGTCATGTATGTTTTTTGGAGTGTAGTAGGACTTAAGAAACAGGATGCAATCCACTGCTAAAATGCTTAGTAACGTACCACGTAACTTAACGCATGCGTCTTTCATTGACTTCATCGTTGAAAAATGCTGATCACATTCAAAGTTAATAGGTATGACGTCATTTCATAGAGAAAATATCACCGGGTCATGTACTAGAATAGCTGGTTAATCGTTATAATAGCGCTTTTTGAAGGGTTGTATAGGAAGCGCCATTTTTCTCGAGTAAATGTTACAAATCTTCAGCATGTTATCTAGACCAGCGCCCGAGAATGATACCAGTACCGCTTTGTTTTGGCAGAAATGTTACTTATAATAAGACGATGTGCAGAACCAGGGTCTTTCAGTGAGAATTATATTTGAGAGACCCTGGCAGAAAACATGTTTGGACTTCAAAGAACAAAATTGACCACGCCCCGGTGATCTTTTAACTTTATGTGTGAAACTATACATGTTTTGATTATGTGAGACACATTATATATAGCCTAGGACAAGGAGTTTTCAGTAGAGTATACCCAATACATCACATGTACATAGTGCATTGTATTTAATCTGCATGTATTGTTCTATATAATTAGTTTTGAAACAAGAAAACAAAGATGTAATATATCATTAGGAAATATAATGAATGTACCATACATTGGTGTATTTTATTTTGATTTTCATATCTATTACATCTATTGTCAAAATATTTTTATGTTCGTAAACACTGTACATAAACGTTCAATCAGTTAGTGAGGGTGTATAAGAACACCACTAAATGTTGTAAAACCTATCCAAAACGACTGTTTATCATGAAGAATAGTTTTAACCCAGACTCGTTCACCTTTATTGACAGTGAGGAGACAGACATTACCTCCAGTATTATCTTCTACGTCATTACCTCTGTCGGAAGCGACAAACATATAGGGTTGTCCTTCCTTCATCAAGTTAACCAATGCCTCTGTGTTGACGCTGTGCGTTTCAATAAAAACTGAGAAGAGATAGAGACCAGAAGTTGGGCTTGTAAAAACACCAGTGGAATCGTCATAATTAGTTCCAGTGTCATAGATTAAAAAGTCAAATATGACAGTTGTATGTATTGGTACATCATTTAATTCAGTGTTAAGCATTGCTGTAAACGCCACCTCTGTTGGATCTGAACTGCCTATTCATTGTAAAACAGTAAAAAATTGATTTAATAAAAATATTATCATTTTAAATGTTATAAATATATATATATATAGTCTTTAACATGAACGGAATTGTAAATGTGTTTTATTGTTATTATACCCACCAAATTGGCTCAGATTTTGTTAACTTTTTTGTTAGGTCATAGAATAGAAAGGTAAATACTTCTTACTTTAGAGTAAGTTTAAATGAATAAGGTTATCAAAGGTATAAAGATAATTAGTAAATTTTCAAATAGAAGAGTTTAAGTGTCTTGAACCAACCCATGTGGGGCTTTTTTTATCTTTTTTTTGTGGGTGGGGGTTGGGGTGTAGGGGATGTTGCTGTTAACCGTGTTTATATCAGCAACTTCCTTACTTTCTACAATCATTTGCTTTGAAAACGAAGTGCCAGGAATTAAAATATGTAGAATAATCTAAATTAAATAAGATTTATATAAATATATTATTATTTTCCCTCTAAATTGAAAGACATTATTACTTACGAGCAAATCTTCTGTTCGGTGTTGAAATCTTATTTTTACTCCATCGTACTTTCTCTAAATAAAAAATGCATGCATTTGTATGTAAACTTCTAAAGCTTGTATGTTAAAAGGTACTACATAAATTTTAACAAAAAAGCATCAGCTGTGCTTTACAATAAAATAATTTAGGTGACTTACAGCTAGACTTTCTTACACGTGCATTTGCCTTTAATAGTCATACGTACACAAAGATAACATTTATATATTAACTGTTATGCCGAGTGTTTTCAAATGGCGGATATTGTATGACAAATTACTCAAACAAAACAATTTTGATCGTTAAACACACCTATCACATCTTCCAACGCTGTAACATTTCTCAGCTGCCATTTCAATTGGTCAACATTTCTTTGAAGAGATGATACCTTTTCTTCTTGATCTCGACATTGTCTTAACATTTCTTCATCTTGCTGTACACGTTGTGTTAACATTTTTAACTGAGACGCTAGGTGCGAGATCTCTAAACGGAGGTCAACCTGTAAAATGCAAATTTTATCATGCGCAAAAACATTCATATATCAAGACCATACAGTGTGATGGGAATAGAGACTGGTGACCTCGTAATTATGACTAATTATCTTTCAATTAAGGGACCGTGGGTATGGGCCAATCTGGAGTCACGACCATTTTATCTCAAATGACAACTGTACTTGTGAGTCACATGCAGGAAACGAACTCGACGGTCGTACAAATGAGCATTTAACTTTCTATGTGAGGTCAATAAACATATACTTTTCTAATCATTTGTTGAAGTAGATTTGTGTATCTATTTAATAACAATAATACGAAATAGGCTATAAATATTGTATTAATATGTTCAATGGTGAATAAATATTCGTATTCGTATAATGTTATTTGATAAACAAGATACATGTGTGCTATGAAAAATGAAAAAGAAATCTAGCTTTTATCTAAAAAAAGTTTTGTTTATTCTTCCAGAGATAAATGTGCCAATTATTATTTCATTATTTAAGAAATTTATCTTCAAACCTGTGCCTCAGCAAATGCGTGATCCAATGCGATCATTAGTACTGTGACGACACATAAAATCCTAACCATTTTTCTCATTTAGTTTTTTCCGGCGACAAAGTTGCATATGTCCGTAAATCTAAAAGAGATCTAGCTTTTATTCTTTCCAATCTCGTGAACGATGAAATTTAAATTGCTGGATATTTACATCAATTTGAACAGGACAACTTTGATAGACAGGAATACTGGTATACAGTCTTAAGCATCCTTGTAGCGGAATTTAAAAAAAAATCTCAATCATAACAACCTGTCAGCATTATTTCAACTGAAACTAAGATGACATTAAGCAAGTGTGATAACTCTACAGCAAAGATAAATTTAACAATTGTTTCAAGTGCAATATGTAAACACTCAATCCGACTAGCCTGTCTATCAAGAATCAAAATAATGTCATAATATCTACAAAGTGTTGATATTTCCCAGAGCGGCAATTCCAATGTCACGAGGCACCTGGTTGATTTCTTGTGAAGATTTAGTCTGGAGTTCCTTCCCCTTACACTACTATATACTTTCCGCAGTAAATGTAGGCAGGGAACCAGACTAGTGAAGATTATGCACTACCACTGTTCCTACAATCCAATTTCGGCAAAGGATATGGTAAAAGGCTATCTCAATTCAAAAATAAATGTGAGCATGTCTAAAAAAATATATTTGATTTCAATACAATTTGCGACTATTCAAATGTATATTTTTCTGGTTGTTGAAAATGTTGATAGCATATTAATGGCGGTAATTCGAATGATATGCGTCTGCTGATAGCATATTTTAGCCAGTATTTAACTGATGATTTCTGAAACTTTAAAAAAGCAACAACAGCAATGCAACAACGACGACAGACAACAACAACACTGGAAAGCATTTTGACAAGTACATTTATACTGGAACACTTGCAGATATGTAACGTTTATGTATAGTATACCGCAAGTATCATTTGCACACTAAAAGTCATTTTCTTAAACAAGTTCATTGTGTTACACACAGATTGATACAGTTTTAGGAGAGATTTAGTTCTAATGTCCGTTCTTTTAAACCTAGCAACCAAGCAATGTATACTCACGGCGCCATTTCGACGTCATGGTCAGAGCGATCACTACAGATATTATGTGACTATGGAAAACCTTGATTGGTCATTCTAAAATATTTTCCCCTGCTTATCAGATTGCCATATCCGTATAAACATGCCTCAAAATTTCAATAATTTTGTTTGTTTGTTTGTTCATATTGGGTTTAACGTCACACCAATACAGTATAAGTCATTTGGCGACTTTCCAGCTTTATTCGTAGAGGAAGACATCAAATTCGATCCCGTGCATTATTTCAGGCACAAATTGGCACCTGAGTAAAACCATCGACAATCCGTAAGTTAGTTGGATAGCTGCACCACATGAAAGAATCCGAAGTCCTGGTCGGGATTCGTACCGACAGCGATGAGGGGCAAGCGGTTTGATATTTGTTTTAAAGTACAGAGAAGTACTACTGATATTTCATTAAAAGGTAATGTAGAAAAAGATTCTTCAAGTTGCTCCAAAATAATGCTTCCTGGTTGGGAAAATGGAAGTTGAAAGATTAGGAGCTCTGTCGGTACTCTCTCTCTCTCTTCTCTCTCTCTCTCTCTCTCTCTCTCTCTCTCTCTCTCTCTCTCTCTCTCTCTCTCTCTCTCTCTCTCTCTCTTCTCTCTCTCTCTTCTCTCTCTCTCTCTCTCTCTCTCTCTCTCTCTCTCTCTCTCTCTCTCTCTCTCTCTCTCTCTCTCTCTCTCTCTCTCTCTCTCTCTCTCTCTCTCTCTCTCTCTCTCTCTCTCTCTCTCTCTCTCTCTCTCTCTCTCTCTCTCTCTCTCTCTCTCTCTCTCTCTCTCTCTCTCTCTCTCTCTCTCTCTCTCTCTCTCT